GCTGCTGACAACACTGTCGGGCGCTTCCTGATGGATCTTATTAACCAGGTGCCAAAGATTTCACCAGAGGACTTTGAGACCATGTTGAACAGCAATATCAATGTAAGATCTTAATCAATTTTTTCTGTGCCTTGCTAGCAATTTTGAAAATTTGTCATACAGACATAAATTTGTCTACGATCTGTCTTTTCAAACCAACATGCTAATAGCTAATACAGCTTTTTTATTGCCAGTAATTTGGTGTTTTAAGGACTGAGGATGGATAAAGAAGCTCAGCATAATCTTGCAAGGAACTGCAGATAAAAGTATTTATTTTTAAGGACTTAGGAATTTTGCAAGTAATCTGAAAACCAGTACCAATTCTTCTTTCATATTGATTGGACAGTAGGAATTACCAAACTTAAATAATTTCAGCAATAACTGCTGACTTGCCAGATTCTTTTGCCTGAGCTGGAGTTCTGTCTCTGCATAACACTTACAAACGTGAACAAGGTTTTAGCATGCTACCTGATTTCTCTTAACAAACTTTTAGAAAACTTAAGTTTCTGAATGTGTTGTTCACCTACAGTCTGTAATACCAGAACTAATTTTTAATTTTGCTCATACCCTTTGACTTCTCTGGTTAACATGGGTGAACTCAGAGTTAAAATTTCACAAGCAGTGTTTCATATGCCAGGAATACCAAAAGCTTCCTGCAAGGGAAGCATTCCTCAGGGTAGGACTTTCAGGGCTAACTATTTCTTGTAGCTGATTGTAAAATGTTTTACAGATGTTAAAAATTCAGCTCTCTAATAAGCTATGATTTGTTAATATTTCTGATCACTGTTTTTCCCCCTCCCTTTCAGGACCTACTGATGGTAACCTACTTGGCAAATCTCACACAGTCACAGATTGCTCTCAATGAAAAACTTCTTAGTTTATAAAGAAACTTTTGCCACCCTACACTTAAAGGAACCTGAAGAATAAGCAGATACACTTTTCTGTGGTGTTAGAAATTTCCTTGGACTGTAATTTAATTACCTACATGACTTGGTTTACATTGTTATTTCCACTGCTCTGAAAAATCCCTAACATGTTTTAGAAAATGAATGGGGACGGCTGCAGTTCAGTTGAACCTGGTATTTTAAAATGGAATATGAGAATCTTACGTCTTGTGGGTTTGTCTACTTGTATAACAAAATACAGCTTTATTGTAAGAATGTATTTGGAATAAAAGTTCCATTGCAGCCATTGCAGTGGCAACAATGGCTTCTGTCCAGAAAAAAATCTTTCACATTTATTGTGTAATGAATCCATTTCTGAAAGGGGCGGGGTGGGGGGGGGGGTAGGGGGTGGTAAGAGGCATCAGGAAACAAAGCATGGATGGGAGTGAAGTCCAGCTCTTTGCAGGTTTTTTTTCCAACTGCTAAAGCACACTGAAAGTGTGGGGATTTGTGTTGCATATAATATGCTTTACCATGAAGGACTGTACAATAGCCTCTGGTTTATTAGTGGTGCTGTGTATATCCCTTCAGCAGGCTACGAAACAGTAAATTCAATTTATGGTATCACTTCTATACATATAATTCTGATTGTTTGGGAAAGGAAGTAAAGGTCAATAGCATTAGCCCCTCATAAAGAGGGAGTTAGAGAATTAAAGCCAGCAACTGAGTTCATGGTAAAAGTGTTTGAAAAGCATTTGTGGCTAAACAAGCTTGGCTGCTGGAGTTTCCATCTTTGCCAAAGAAGAAAAGGACAGCAAAATGACAATCCATTAGATTTGAGGTTAAAAGTTGGGTGTTGCCAAACAGGAATTTTCTATTTCATAATGCTGTACTGCTGCCAAAATTATGTGAAAAGAAACCTCATTTTCTCCCCAAGATAATGTTTCATGTTAACTAAGTTCCAGCTGGAAGAAAGCAAATACAAATATCAGCTGCAACTTTGCACAATCTCTGCCAATAGCATTACTTTTAGAAGGCTTACAGTTCAGCTGTGCTGAGGGGGGGACTCTGCTTTAACAGAGTTAAACCATCCCTCTTCTACAACAAAACTCTTCCCTCCTTACTAAGGACTGTATCTAGTTTGGTGAATGAATTTGAAGTATCCAAAGAGTGTTCTCCAAAACTGGTAATTTCCCAGCTAAACCCAAGAATAAGACTCAGATTACAAATCTACAGATCCTGTAGTGGTTGTTCCAATCTAGAGAGTTCCCCCAGCAACTGAATGCTAAATTCTAATTGCAAGGTCAATGTAAGTGAAAACTGAAGGTCCAGAAAAGATCCTCAGCTCATTGAAAATGTTATTTTTGAGCATTAAATAAGATTAGAACTCAACTCTGTTTTTTAATAGTCTCAATAAAAATGTTTTGGTTTCCTTTCTCTTCTTTAAACTTAATATTCTTAAATTCAGCCCTTTAATGGTTCAAATTTTTCAGATCACAATGTTTTTTGAAGAAAGTTTTGACATAGCAACCGCAGGATAGCAACTTCATTTGGTGATTATTTCCATGTACTGGGATGAAGGTCACTAAATTTGTGTTTTAGTTGAGTCACTTCAATTTATTGGCAGAAGATTTAAACCTGCTGCTAAGAGGAGGTAGTGTTTCGGTGTGTGATTTTGTGAACCTGTGGATGTATGCCACCTATACCTGAAATTCACGGGTTCAATCCAAATGATTAAAATTGATGTGAAAACGTTAGACACACAACCCTTCTAGAACAGTCAAGCAGAATAAGCTGCTGTTGTGTGCTTTGAGGAAGGGTGAAGCTTCAATTTCCTCACGACGGAAGCAGGGGCAGGTTGGCAGCTCTCCCAAGGGCGGTGTGATGCTCGGAGCAGGGTGGGTAGAGCACTGACATGACTCAGCGGGCAGTGACTCCCTCGAGCAGCTAACCAGGCACAGGCTCCTCCTGCCTCCTGAGGGAGCTGCACTCGCTCCGCTCCCCGCACACGGAGGGTTAACAGCTTACTGGCACTGCATTTTAATAACTGCAGTCACAAGGCAGTCTAACAGGAGAAGCGGTTTCAGTACATGATGTAGACTTGGGCCACTGCAGTAGCCTGTGGGTTTGTTACACTTTGACCTATGGTTCAAAGCTGACCAGTTCTTACAACAAACTTGGGGAAAATCTTAGTTTTTAATTTAAGTAGATTGGCTGGAGTAGAACACAAAAAGTCATGCTTTATATTACTTAAGTGGGAAATAACGGTCCAACCAGGACACACAGAGAAGCAGCAATGCTTTAGCTGCCTACATCACTAACAATAAATTCCTCTGGGAAAAAAGTTTTGTTTCAGCTGTTTTGACAGCATTCAGCACAGCTGCATAGTTGAGCCAAGTCACTCCAGACCAGAATTCTGTCCAGTACCATGTCTTAGGATCAGATGCAAGAATATTACAAAAGAGAAGAACAAAGTTTGTCTCTCCACTAAACTTGAATTTTCTAATAATGAGAAGCTGCCTTAACTCTGCACGGGGTTTTAGGAGCTTTCCTAAACGTGTGAGTTCTAGGCATAAGTAGCAAGCCAAGAGATTTCCCTAAATACAGAGAGTGAAATTAGATGACCCCCAATGGTTCCATTGCATGCTTTAACGAAGTAATTACAAACATTCTTGTTGATACATAAACATTCAATGCATTTAACAGATTCTTTAAATACATGTAATTTTGTTTAAAATATTCTCTTCTTCCTTTTACACAAAAAGAAAGGAATTTGTTTTAAAACATTTTTTTCTTTTCTTGAGTAGCTTAAGTCAAAACAGTCCACTAAATGAAAAAGAATTGTATTTTTTATAAATGTACTTGGTTCCCATGGAAACAAGGATTAAAATATTTACCTGTCCTGAAAGAAATGTGCTTAACAGGTAAAATAAAGTAGACATGCACTCAGAGTGTCAGCTGAAGAATGCTGTGAGGATTAAATTCTTAAAGCCACTCCTGATGTGTTCTGGGTAGACAAGAGAGAACAAGCCCAATTTGCCTGGATAGGTAATGTATTAGATTCATGTGGCTTTAGGTGCTTTTCATTTGAAGCAAGCAAGCATGGTAAATTATTACCCATCTATTTTCTGCTGTCTGCACTTCACACTGTTTTATGGGTAAAGAGAACAGTGTTTGTTATTTCACCTAGAGCTGAAGTGCTGCAGCAGGTTACAGAAAAGAACCAAAGCTGTTTGCATTGGAATGGTCTCCAAACTGCTAACATGTCTGTCATAAACAAAAAAGGGAATGTTTTTAATAACCTAAAGTAACTGGTGCATAATATCATAGGTGAGTCCTTCATAAATAAGAGTCTTGTTTGTCAGAATGCCTTATGAATAATTAACCATCAGGTAAAGAAAGGACCACATCTGTGTAATGTCTATTCAAAGTATAATATTAATAAACATTACAAAAGACAGAAACAAAACAGTAAGGGCACTCCCCATAATTACATACAAATAACTATAATTAAGACTTCTTTCTAGAAAAAATGTATGTAGTAGTCAGTCAATCTTACCTTTATGTCCTCTTGGGACTTAGATCCTGGTCTTCAGCAACTACAGCAAAAGGAGCAGCTCCTCCAGCTCCATGCAATTAGTTCTTTTATATTCTCTGCCTGTTGCATGCAGTTCCGGTGACCTGGGTGACTTGATGGACTCCCTGCAGCTACTAAACAATGATCTTGATTTAAAGACGCATGTGTTACTGCATTACAGACTTGACTTAAACCTACACGCATCAGGGCTGAAATCATTGCAGTGGTGCTACGGGGAAACTGCAGTGTGGACTTTTCTCTCCCTTTCCTAGCGGATGGCAAAGCGCTCCTGTGGGACAGCATCTCCGGGCGCTTCCTGCGTGCCCGCTTCCCTGTCACAGCTCCACTGGCGAGTGGCTCTGCGTTTGTGGCACTTGTGCTGCGAGCTTACCTCCCGTCCGTCCCGAGAGACAACCGGGCACCTCACAGCTTTCCTTCAGCGAGCCGAGGCGAGCCTGCACGGGCAGCAAAGGGCTCTGCCTTGACAGGGCCCTCACCATCGGCACCGGGTGCGGTGCCCCTGCCGCGGGCCGGGCGGGGCGGGCTCGGTGCCGGGGGCGGGGCAGGCATCGCCGGCCGCACGGGCTCCATTTTGCGGTGTGGCTGCGGAGAGAGGCCGGAGGCTCCGCAGGTTCCCTCAGGTGAGGTGACTGGGGGGGAGGGAGGAACGGCCGCCCGCCGCTCGCGTGCCCCTCGCCCCAGCGCCCGGCCCGGCCCCGCTCGCACCGCCCGAGGGCTCGGCCGCAGCCCCAGCTCTGCTCCCGCACCGCCCGAGGGCTCGGCCGCAGCCCCGGCTCTGCTCGCACGTCGCTCGGGGGCTCGGCCCCAGCCCCAGCCCCGGGCGGCGCTCCCGGAGCCGCGGCCGCTCGGGGCTCGGGGCTCGGCAGGTGTCCGGCCGAGGGAGGTGCCGGCTGTCCCAGGGAGCCGCACTCCCGGCGGGGGCTGCCCTGGCGCTGTGGAGCGGGGACGCGGTCCTGTGGCCTCGGGAGAAGCAGACACCGGGATACTTGCCTCCGCCCGCAGCTCGCCGGAGGATTCGCCGGGCCGCGGCTGAGGGAGCGGGAGGAGCCTGGGGCGATGCGTGACTGCCCGGAGCGGAGCGGGGCAGCGCCAGGCGGGACCCTTGAAGGCGGCGGGAGCGGGCGCCGTGCTGCCGGCGGGGCCGGGCTGGGCCGGGGAGTCCTGGCGGCTGCGGCGGAGCACCGGGGAAGCTTCTCCGTGTTCACCGGCTGAGCTGCCGCCCAAGGCAGGGGGCGCGGCGCGCCGCTGATGTTTTACCGCGGGCCGGTGCCGCAGCTGACTCACATTCGGCCTTCGCCTTGACCCGCCCCACGCCCATCCAGGACAGCGGGGGGAAACAAGAGTCTGACGGAAAAAAAAAAAAAAAAAAAAAAAAATCTGTTGTTGTTTTGGCTCTAAAATTAGTTATGTCGAGCCACTGTTCAACTTGAGGATGCTTGTGCCAAATTTAAATTCCATTTTTCTTCCCCCTGTCGTTAAAAGTTTCATAACCTGGCTAATGGTGTCGAATCTCCCTGCAACATGCAGGATGGGATGATCTCTATCCCCACTCCCCAAGACCCTCTGTTAAAAATGTGACTAAAATAAACAGTCACTGTCAGGAAATAGAAATTTCCTCCACAAATGAAGTTATGCTGAGGGATGTTCAAGAACAGGGACCTGTTCTTCTCAAATTGCCATTTTACATGGGATAGCTCGGGTACTGCTCTTCTCCCAGGAACTACCCCTGTGAGCAGAGCAGTGCAGGATGACACATACAAGTGCTTGGTTGCAGTCCAGAAACCTGCATGGTTTCTGTCCTGCCAAAGGATCCAAACTCCCTCCTGCTGGCACCTCAGAGTATATTTTGTATTTCAAAGCTTTCTGGAAGTTTGAGCCTCTTACTTTGCTTAAATGTCTGTCTGACTTTAAATAAGGGTGATAGTTAATTGACTATAATTACTATAAGTTGAAGATGCTTCCCTTCTGAATTCTGATTGCTATGGTCAGATGTAGGAGATAAAAAGAGGAAAAGTTCTGTGGATAAATTGCAGATTATTCAAGTAATAGATAATTAGTAAGCAAATACCTACTACAAACTCAGAGATAGTGCTTCACAGTGAAAATACCTTTTTTCTTCCCCAGAATGTCATACCCAGGTTATCCCCCTTCTGATGGCTACCCTGCTTTCCCAGGTTATCCTGTAAGTATGGCTCTTGAATGTGTTGCATTTCTATTGTGTGAATATCCCTTCTGACTCTGCTCCATGTATCTGTAAATAGTAGCTAGTAGTAAATAGTAGTAGTCAGTTCAGGTACCCTGTTCTCTAGTGATTATGATCTTTGTTTTCCTCTGTATATCTCTGGGGATGACTACAGCTGTCACACAAGAATTCCAAAAAAGAAATTTAGTTTTTTTAGTGATGCCCATTGTTCCAGAAAGGTCTTTGGTTTTGTTTTATTTTATCTTGTGAGTCTGGTTTTTTAAATACAGCTGTCTCATCTCAACAATTCTCTTTTTTTTAATTTTCTTCTGTAAACAGACGGCCCTTTACATGTAGGGTTAGAAGTAATCTCTGAACTGATCTGTACAAAATACTCACATAGCCATATCCCAGGATTTACAGAGATGTTAAAAAAGCTTCAGTGGTCACAGCCATCAGGAAGAACTTGGAACACTTCACTCAAGTAGCCCAGCTTTCATATAACACCAAGTAATTATTTTTCTGAGGATAGAGGACACTGTATCTTGACTACCCTATCCACAGGACTGTTCTACCTTCATGTCACAATTGAATGGACTAAAAATTTGAATGAAACTTAATGGAAGGCTGAAATGTATCAGGTATGGCTGATACTGCAGTCTTTTTGATATGCCTGCAATATTTTTCAAAGCTAGATTGATCTCTGTGTTTTTATGGCACTGATCATGGCACTCACAGCACTTTCATGGCACTTGTCATGCTGTAATTGTGGGAGTTTACTGGTGTTCTATGCAGTACAGAACCAGACTTAGGCATGGATCTCAGCCTGAAAGCCTTTAGGATACTGAAAAGATACAAATACGTGCAAAATATAAATATACACATGTAAGTACATGCAATAAATTCTCTCATGATTTTGCTTTACAACCTACCCTTACTTCATCTGAAAGATTAAAGTCAGTCAAATGAAAGACAAACATGTTAGAAACAAGATGATTAACTCTAGAATTTCTTTTCTTCCCTTAAGGTTCTGCTGAACCCTCATGATTTTAGCAGTAGTTTATTTTCAACTACATCTGAAAATATTTTTTTCCTAGCTAGGATCTAAAAAATAGCCAGCTTCAATGAATTAATTTAAAAGACCTTTTAGACTTGAAGTCTCATTCCTAGTTTCATTGATGATGGCCAATGTGATAACCAATTTAAAAAGCACATGTGAAATTGTTTTTTTCTGCAGCACTGGTAGTAATCTGAGCAGGGCTTTAGCATCCTAATTTTGGATTATTGAATCTAAATTCCAGTAAAATTTTTTTGTTGAGTCAGGCAGAGAAATGTTAGACTGTACCTCTGGGGAAAAGAATATTATATAGCCTGGGCACAGTAATTTGGGGGTAGAAATCTTGGGGCAGTCAAACCCAAGAACATTTGAGCTAGGCTTTTCTGCTCTGCACTTTATTCCTGTTTTCTGGAGTCAAGAATGAATGTGTACTATATGTAATGTGTGACTTGTATTTCTAAAGCTAGTCCTTAAAGATGATTCCCAGCAAGTGAGTAATGGGTCCATCCATTATGCTTCATTATGAAGCTGATTTTGAATCCTGATTTCTAAGGTCATGTATAATGATTTTCACCTTACAGGGCTTTCCCTTAGAGATCCAGATCATTCAATATTTCTAATGTATCTTAATGCTAATAGCAACCTTTGTGGTATGGCTGGTAAATCATACGTGTAGCAAAACAAATATTTAGCAGTTGGACTTGTTCTTTTTATTTGAAACCCATAATATGTGCTCAGTCTGATTCAGTGATCCACATTTAGTCATTGAATATCCATGCTTTATAACCTGGATTCCAAAGGAAATGGGAAAAAAATCCCTAAAACTTCTTACCCTGTAACATTTAAAAATGTTTGTGCAAGAGAGGCAGAAGTTTCAAAGCTACTATGCTCTTAAATGTCTTTTAACAGGGGGTGAGCTCCTAATTCTTCATAGAGAGCAAGCTGAACTGAGCTCACCTGCTCTTTCTATCCCTCTGTGGGATAGAAAGAGCAGCTTTCCAGTAAAGGACCAGGAGTCCCAGTGGCTGCCAAGTCGAATGTGGCTCAGCACTGCGAGTCCTCAGGGAGGAAGGCTAATGACACACCAGGCTTTAGCAAGAGCACCTCTGCAATCCTGTGTCTGGTTGTGGCCTCTCAGTACAACAAAGACATAGACAAAGAGGAGCATGTGTAGGGAAGGCTGCTTGCCTGGAGAAGAGCAGGCTAAGCACAGATCTGTTCAGTTTTCTGCTGGGTGAGAAGGAGCAATAGAGACATTGGAGCCAGCTCTTGTCAGTGAAAGGGCAGCTAGCAAATACAGGTTGCAATTGCAATGGTTTGAGGAAAACATTTTTCTTTAGGAGAGTGGTCAAACCCTGGAACAGGGGCCCAGAGAGGCTGTGAATTTGTCATTCCTTGTATATACTGAAAACTTGACTATCAGGCCTTGCAAGAGCTCACCCAACCCCAAAGCTGGCCCTGCTCTGAGGGTGGATGGGATCACAGGCCATCCAGAGGTGACTTCCACCCTGCAGCACTTTCTGATTCCATGTCAACATAGGAGATGCATCAGAACACCCAACCAGGAGGACCCCATCCAGGCTTCAAGGATTCTGCTGCTTCAAGCCCTACAGCTAATTGTATAATTCATGTTGTTATTATACACATGGACATTTTGGCAGCTTGGGAGTTTTTACTCTAATGTGCCGTTAACAGGCATACAGACATCCCATTTTTGTGTTCCAGCCAACAGGACAGGAGTCTGTCTATCCACCAGCTGGTCAGTATGCCTATCCTGCTGTTCCTGGAGGATTCCCTCCAGCAGGAGGAGGGACCTATCCTGCAGCACCACCGAATGCTGGGTTTCCAGGGGCAGCAGGGTATCCTGCCCCGGGAGGCTACCCTGCTTCAGGGGGCTTCCCTGGAGCTCCCCAGGCTGGAGGAATGCCACCTTATCCTGGAGGTAAGATCCGTTGTTAGAGAACCAGTCAGGAGTGATTTCCAGTGTAACCATTCCCTGTGCTCTTTAGAAGCAGTAAAGAAAAGCAGCTTTGTTCAGTAATGGCTTCAGGCAGCCAGCCAGGCTGCCATCCAGCAGTAAATACCTGCATTGCTGATGGCAGAGCCTTGGTGGTTCTGGGTCACTGCACACACATGGAAAATCTGGTCTCTTACATAGTTTTGTTTAATAAACTGGCTCCTGTTGTGTCAAGAAGTCAAGTACAAAATACTAAGTGTGCTGAAGTCTGTTTTGTTTTTTTTTTTTTCCCTGGCCCCTCCAGGCCCTGGCTTTGCTGTACCTCCCACTGGGCCTGGCTTTGGTGGCTATCCACAGCAGCCTCCTGCCCAAAGCTATGCTGGAGGTGGACCAGCACAAATTCCAGGTATGTCATATATAAGAAACTTCAAGCATCTATGATTGAACCAAGAGACTCCAGGATAGGCAGTAAGAAATTAAGCCCTTACCTTTATTACTTGTAGCTGTTGAGACTTGTATGCTGTGCACCTCCTGCCACCTTTCTTGACCAGGCTGCTGAAGGGCTGATGAGAACCATCTCTGTAGGTGCTAAATCCAGAGGGGATGGCTGTCCCTGAATAGGAGTCATGATGTAGTGGTTTAGGTGCCTGCCCTTTTTCAAACTGCAAGTATCTGATGAGAACTGTGATCCACATTCAGTGAGTATCTAGCTGTTCTGTTTATCTCAAATGCATTTTTCAGATCAGTGTGTTCACAGTGATTCCTGACCCACTGGAGAAAGAGGGAAGGAGAATGCACACATTTGCTTAAAAGCAGTGCAGTGTTTGTATTGCTTTGAGTGGTCAGTTGATATAGAGATGATTTTATTCTAGAAAATCATATCCAGAGACTATAGCGATGATTTTCTGTTACGTCAGAAACGATTTTCTGTTACTTTAGAGATAATGTCCTGGAATGTATCAGTTGTGTTTTAAAGAAATTCTAAGCAGCAAAACCTATTTGTCTTATGATTGCTCTGTTAACTCTGGTACTAAGTTGCTATTAAAATGATAAAGGATGTGCATACATATTGTGAATAAAAATAAAATTCCAGTACAAAAAATAGTTATAGCTTCTGTATTACCAGTGCTTTTGATCACAAAATGAGATTTCTTCAATCCTTTTTGCAGCAATGAATTCTGAATATTTATTGTTTACATGCTAGGCATTTTAAAATGTATATAATAGCTTTTAAAGAGAGAATGGAACACACAGTCTTCATTTCTTTGGGCTATCTTGGCTTCTGTCAAAAATAGCACAATTTCATAAGGAGAGATGCTTCCAGTTCCCACAGCACCACTAAGTTTAGTATTTTTAGAATTGTCTTGCTAGTTTATGTACCAAAATGCATCTGTGATTGGTTCTTCCCATTATCCCCGAGGGAAGAAATTCAGCTACTGATTATGGTAGGTATCATTAGGAAAGAGGTTGTCTGCAGCGGATGGTCTGACTTCATATTCAGATTAGATGGCATTTCCATAATAAGAGGAGACCTAATTAATTTCTCCTACCTGTTCCTTATTTTCACTAGGATTTCCTGGTGGACATGTACCATCTCCAATGCCTGGTATGGTATGTGCTGTTTTCTTTTCTATAATTAATCTTATGTGGCTTCTGTAGTTTTAATCTTTTTAAAGCTGATTTCCAAAGGTTTCAATTTTGTTCTGCATCAGGAGTTTCCTTCTGCCCTCAAAGTAATGTTGCCCTGATTCTGTGTTAGAGGAAAAAATGGAGAACTAACGGAGAACTCCTTCTGAAGTACTGATTGCAGGGTTGTGATTTTAATTTGATCTTTATTGTGTAGATATCTAGTTACATGTGGCTCTTATTTTCAGCCTGCTGCAGTGGTTCAGTGTACCCAGGGTACAATTCAAGCTGCGCCAAACTTCGATGCTGGAAGGGATGCAGAAATCCTACGCAAAGCTATGAAGGGTTTTGGTAAGTAAGAAATAGAAGCTTTAGTTCCTATTGATGTAACTTCTTAATGCCATTTTGTTGTTTTCTTCAGTGTTTATTTAATTATACTTCCCCCCAACAAGCTTTTCAAAATGGCTGGGGCTGTTTAGTAGATGAAGTTACACAGAAAATTTGGTGGACTTAAAAAGCTTATTATTAAGTAATTATGCCCAAATGCAACAGTATAAAATGCACAGTTTTGGAGGGACTATATTGCATTCTAACATGACATTGCCCTTCTGTTTCCAAGGAACTGATGAGCAGGCCATTATAAATGTTGTTGCTAACCGCTCCAACGATCAAAGGCAAAAAATCAAGACAGCTTTCAAGACTATGTATGGCAAGGTACGTTCACTAGTTCTTTGAATTAGGGAAAAAACGCAAACATTCAGCTGCTGCATTAACTGCCTGGTTGCATTTTAGTCCTGGGGAATGATTTGAGCATTTTTAAAATGCACTTCTTTTGGTTATATCCCTTATGTATTGGGAGAAATCTGGTATTTGATATAGGATTGTCTGGATACCTCACAGAAGGAAGGGTGGGGGAAGGCTGGAGGCTGTCTCTGTCTCTGACCACACAAAAAGCTTCTCTAATGCTTGACAGAAAATAGTCAAGCTTAAACTGCCCTTGTAGTAGTGTCTGAAACTACTGAGTTTTTTATGCATACAAACCAGCACTGAAATCTTCTTTTTCCCAAGAATAAAATAAATAAATAAATAAATAAATACAATTCCAGGTCAATTTAATTTCTTCCCTGTCATTTTTGCAAACTAAAGTGAAATTTTGTAGTTGTGGCATTAGTGAGGAGATAATGGAAAAGAGCTGAGTTGTCAGAGATTTGGACAGACGGAAGTTCTTAATAAGAAATAAAACAAAGCTTCACAGGAAAAACAGCACAAAGGTAGAAAGGTAGAAATAAGCCATAGAAGTAAGTTCTAATTTGATCTTTCTTCAGTATATGATCTATATATGCCTAACACTCTGCAAAGCCCTTTCTGTGCTTATAATTGAACAGGATTTAATTAAAGATCTGAAGTCCGAGTTAAGTGGTAATGTGGAAGAATTGATTCTAGCCCTCTTCATGCCTAGTACCTACTATGATGCCTGGAGTTTACATCATGCAATGAAGGTATGGTATTCCTATGAAGGAAACAGTTTTAAACTATCTTAAAATGCTCATCTAAGAATACCTGGTCCCAGCATTGTTGAAAAATCGTATACAGTTGACTTAGTGCTTTCACACTGCGGGGATACTGTTCTTACAGTCTGGATAGTATTAAATTTTGAACTACCAGATGACTGCTTTATTTCACAGTTGAAGGAAACTGCATAGATAGTGCTCTGTAGTTATGCCTTTGTTTTCTTTGCCTACAGGGAGTAGGCACTCAGGAGAGTGTGTTGATTGAGATCCTTTGCACAAGGACAAACCAGGAGATTCGTGAAATAGTGAACTGCTATAAATCAGAATTTGGAAGGGACATTGAACAAGACATCAGATCAGACACTTCAGGACACTTTGAACGATTACTTATATCTATGTGCCAAGTGAGCTTTGATTTCTTTTTTTTTTTTTTTTTTTTTTTTAATAAGATAACATCTGATGTGTTTAGTCATAATGGCTCCACAAATAGCCTGTGTGTGCTTAGTAAGAGGCAGTTTTTAAGAAATAAGCCCATGGTAATTAATTTTTTCCTTATGATATGACACTTCAGTCCCTCCTCAAGAGATACTTCTTATCCATTATGAATTCTGTGACTTAATTTAGCACCCTCAATTAGTATCAGAACTTATGTGAAAATATTGTGCAGATGCAACCAAGTGGTTCCCTAAAACAGTGCTCTACACAGCTGTTAGAGCAACATAGTTTTTATTTTTTCCATATGTTAACAAAGTAATCTGGGTGAAGCAGATTGGGTAACCTCTGTGGTATGCAGAATGCCTGTGAGAATCCCTACAAACAAGATAAGACATGCCACAGGGCAAAACCTCCCCCACCAAGTTACTCCATAATCTGCCTCCCCTTTACATCACCAGAGTTAGGGAGGTGCTGCTGTTGAACTCAGTGGCCACTGGAGCTTTCTTCCCATATCATTTACTAGGGCTCATTTTGTGTTGAAGAATAGTAACTTGCAATTACTCATATTTAGGAAGAAATATGTAACTAATGCAACTTCCCACATTTCTCTGATCAATTTGCCTATTTCTGTTAAAATTTCTATGATATTTCTCTATCTATTTGGTTAGAAGTCAAAATCCACAAGAAAGCAAACCTGGAGAAGCTCATGCTGCTAATTTTTATTTTGATAAATCCAGTAGTTTACAATAACTGACAACCACATCATTTAAATAGTATATTAATCTCTATAGATACAACAGTATTGGAGAGAACGTATTCAGCCTACTTAGCCAGTATGTTTAGCAGTATCCATCCATGCACTGGGCAGCAAAATGCTAAAACAACACATAGAATGTCATATAAGCCCTACTGACACAAATGTAGTAAGTGCTTTCTAAAGGCATTTTTACTTGAAATAAGCAACTTCTAAATAAAATAGGAGGGAAACCTGAGATATTTCAGGTGTGCATATTCAGTAAAATAATTCATTAGTTGGTTTGGGAAGAGTCTTTGCAACTTGAAGCCTAGAAACAAACAAATCAAGAGAAAGCTTGCATTATTAAGTAAAATACAGAATTAAGTACAGTATTTAATTAGAAGTATGAGATGGCTTGTAAAGGTGAAGTTATCTGAGTCAGTGTATCTGCAGTTTAAAGCATGTCCTAGAGATAGGGTTCTGAGCCACTTTTGTATTTACATCCTGTAAAGAATATTAAACCAAAGAGAACTTGTAAAGCAATGTAATGTATTTCAAACTACTTCTCTTTCTGTTTCAAGCTTTGAAATATATGCTTCAAGATATATGCTTCAGTCTATGTACACTGCAAGCAGTTAAAGCACAGCTTTCTCTGTGAAATTTCATTTGAGATCTGTTGTCTTTGCATTAAGGGTAATCGTGATGAGAATCAAACTGTGGATTATCAAAAAGCTCAAGAAGATGCTCAGCGCCTGTACCAAGCGGGTGAAGGAAGACTTGGGACTGATGAATCTTGCTTTAATATGGTTCTGGCAAGCAGAAGCTTTCCCCAGCTGAAAGCAACAGTTGAGGCATACTCCAGGGTAGGAGGTCTTCACTGATTTCAAATAAGCTTGGTCAATGCATTTTAAATTAAGGTTCCAGTTGCTACTGTATTTCATCATCCACATATTAATCTCATTTATTTGCAGATTGCTAATCGTGATTTATTAAGCAGCATTGATAGAGAATTTTCTGGAAATGTGGAACGTGGTTTGAAGACTATTGGTAAGTTATGTGTTCTTCCCTCCCCCATTATCCTTTAGGAATTAAACTTAAATGTAACCAAAGAAAAATCCAGTTCAGCACTGGCCATATGGCAAATGATCACATAATCAGAGACTCTGCTAGAACAGGAAAAGCTTCAACTATTTAAATGATTCATCTTGCAGTTAAGTAAAGAAAATAAGCAACCATCATGAAGTCAGTTTCAAATAAGAAAGGCCACATAGAAACTACTTGTCACTTCTCTGGGAAGGCAGGCAAGTGCTCAGAATCAAGGGTCACTGGTTAGTGCTTGTAGCTGTGTAATTCAGAGTTCTGCAAAAGGGGATACCAGTGTCACAGAGCCGTGACTGGGTGTGCAGCTCCTTAGCACAGACATCTGAGCCACCCACACTGATAACCTCAGAGCCAACATGAACCTACTGAAGGCACAGTTCCTTTTCCATGCCTTCCCCACCACCATCTACCCAAAAAAGCTCAGCTGTGGCTAAGGACAAGCTTCACAAAATAGAAGACGTTGTTTTCAATTCATTTTTTCCTACCGATTTGTTACGATACAGCAGTTCAACACAATTCAGCACAATTAACTGATGGTGAAAATCAGTAATATTTAGTAATAAATCTGGAGACACCAGTCATATAAGTGCTTACCCAAATGACAGCAATTCTGTAGCTGTAATGGATAAGCAAAAACTTCCTAGAGTTTATTCTACTCAAGAGTTTAATAGGAAAAATTCAGGACTGAGAATCAGGTAGAAGAATAGTGGCTTGTCTCTGAGTGTGAACAATCTACCTAAAACAAGATCTATTCTGTAACTACAAGAGTTGCAGAACTACTAGAGAACCTTCTACATTTGTACTTTTCCTAGTGAGATTCTAGCAGTGGAACATGAATAAAATACCCTGTGTCCCAATACCAGCTATTCCAGGGGAAGAACTGTTTTTGAATTACCTGTTTGAGAATTAAGATTTCAGAGAGTTCTGAAAAGCACTTCCAGAGGAGTTAACTGCTACTAACTTTAAGTTTTTGTGTGAAAGGATAACTCATTTGATCAACTTGAAAATAAGTTTAGCTCTATAAACAAGTCCCATTATTCACAGTAACTGGATCTTCACTAAGAATGACCTCTAGCTGTTTACAGCAAAAATCCTGACAAGTTGATCCTGCCAAGTATCACTATATAGGCTACATTACTGGAACTAATCCTAACAATATACTTTATTGCAGTGCAATGTGCTTTAAATCGCCCAGCCTTTTTTGCAGAAAGACTTTATTATTCTATGAAAGGAGCTGGCACAGATGATTCTACCCTCATCAGAATTGTAGTCACTCGCAGTGAGGTAAGAAATTCTCTCCTGTGTACCAGTCATGTGCAGAAAAAAAACATCTACCCAAACCAGCTTGTCACTTAGTCCTCCTTTTACAGGTGTAAAATCATGTACTGCATGAAGCTTTTATGGGGCTCACATTTAGATGCACGTGTTAGTTAGTTTTAAAGCCACTTTTTACTGACTTTAAATAATAGTTACCACTGGCTTAATTAAATAATAATTTAATTAACTCTGCCTAGATTGCAGTAACTGCTTGTTTTCCTTTTTAACTGTTGTTGCCCATCTTCGTAGCAAGTGAGCACCTCCAGGTGAGAAGTTCACCTGTTCAGAGTTAGGACAGCACAATCTTAACAAAGCATGGAACAACTGCTGCTGCACTCTGCTTTGGGAGCTGCCCCTCTATCCTTGGAGGGACCAGCTGGCTTGTCCACTGCACAGGGTTAATCACTGCACATCTCACCCTTGGCATGTGTTCTCTAGTTCACAAGAGAGGAGGTGTGGGGTGACTGTCTGGGGTTTAAATCATACACTGTGGTTGAGTTTTCTACTTTTTTTTTGTCTTTGCATAGATTGACCTTGTGCAAATTAAACAGATGTTCACACAGATGTATCAGAAGACACTGGCTACAATGATAGCAAGTGATACAAGCGGTGATTACCGGCAGTTGCTGCTGGCAATTGTTGGGCAATAGAAGAGGATTATCTGGTTTTTTGGTTTGTTTTTTTTTTTGAAACAAACTGAAGGACATGAAACATACTTTAAGTAGATACTAACTATCCCTGTAAAAGAATAATTTTAAAGGTTGCCTAATCAAATATGCCTTCTTGATGATTCAGTAATCTTTTTGCACTTAAAATGCCTTAATTGACAGCACATAATATTCTTTATTGTATAATAAAAGATGTATCTTGTCTATTAGACCCTAAGCCTTAGTCTTTTTGACCCAGACAAAACCACTTCCTCTCTACTGGATTCCTGCATGCATCTCTGTGGGAGTCAACTGTTTCAGCCAAATTAATCTCCAGCACTCAACAAGTTTCCTGAAATACCTAAACTGCTGAACATACTGTAGAAGACAAAGCCTGAGGCTGTGATGTCAAGCATTTTACACCCAGTCCCTTTTTAATGTGTTTCCATCATAATGTTGAAAAACATGCAAGTCACAAAACACTGACTGTTTAGGGGCCTTGGCAGAATCTGACTGTACACACCTATTAAATTCTTTAAATTCATGGTTAAGTGTAATGGTATCTAAGGCAGCAATGAAAAGGAGAAATCATCTTGGATATGATTCTGAAGTCTGTCCGTGTAAAGGAGTGGGTTATACAGCAGCTGATCAAGCAGTAAAAAAGCATTTATTTAATGCTAACCTGTAAATCCAACCCAAAGCAGTTGTGACCTACGCAATATAAATGGCTTTGTGGATGTTTTCAAAGGATTTAAAGAGAAAACTTTGAACAGCACATTTGTTTTTTTTAGAAAGCTGCAATGAATCTGTCCCCAACTGTAACTCCCCAGCGGTAATAAGCAGTGTGTTCCTTCAGCAATGCTTTAACAAGTAACAATTGTATTATAGGACACCCTCACACAAACAGCACAAACCTAGTTCTAGTATCATCAGACAAAAGCCGCTAGGGCTGGTAGAGCTGGTTCCAAGATGACAAACCTTTCAATCTGCACAGCATGAACATAGAGGTTTTGCACAGCAACAACAGATTATCAAGTGTATCATACAAAAAAAGCTTATGTATTTTACTTATATCAGTGGTCTGCAACCTAAAGCTGATTTTAGACTATAAACTTTTTCTGATACTGACTGAGAAATACAGTTCAGCTGGGTCAAATTAATTATTTCAAATACAAATTGGATGGAATATGATTTGGAGAGACTAGAAGACATTCTACTCTGCACTACTTTGTTCATCCTTAGTGCAATTATCTACTGAGATAGATTTACATGTGTGTATATAGATAGCTATCTGTCAATAGCTTTCTAAGCTTGACCAAGATTCTTAAAAGCTTTGGTTCTCATTAATTTCTTTTTCTTGCTGTACAAACTTCCTTACGTATGAAGCACCTTAACACTTAATAATTAAAGCATATTATTGCATATGTGTCTTTTAATGTGAACGGAAATCCCTACCAATTCACTTGTCATTCAAAGCAGAATATTGATTAAATCTGGCTCATACATACTACCACAAGAAAATGAAGTGATGAATAGGCTTCTATGGTCTATTCTATGTGAATGCAAAATATTTACCTGTTTTATGGCAAAAAATATTTTCATTACATGCTAACAACAAAGAATTGTTAAATGGGTAGCAGGAATTGAATGATTGACAATAAAATTTTAGCAAAAAATAGGCAAGGAAAGACTGAACAGATACTGTCTATCCTGCCTCTGAAAAAGCCTTAATTTCCTACCTAACTTATGTAATAGTGCTTTCAGATTAAATATTAGAAAAAAAGCAAGCTGGTAGAGGGTCTGCCCTCCAAAAGCATTCAGACTCGCACCTGAAGTGACCTCCCTTTCTAAGAGAGAAACAGCCTCAATCCCAACCATCTGGCTTTTTGAAAGGGGGCCAATCTTCACAATTCAGGAAATAAGGCTAGAGGAACTTTTCCATTTCACAATTTAATTTAATAAGCTTTGAAAAGAAACCTGTTTCATACTATAATTTTTGGAGGTGAAGGTGTTTGTTTGCCATTGAACTGGATATAGGTAGGTTGTGAACTCGGCTGCTCTTCCCCATTTGGCTCAGCAAATGGCAGCACATTCCCTGACAGCACAAGGCCCTGATGGAAAATAACCCCCAAAACCTGACCCAGCTCGGTCTGTACTTCTGCTTCTCAGTTCCACCAACACACAGCTGCACTCCTTGGGGCAGTCACAGACCCCAGCCCACCTCTGAATCTTCTCTGATGTTGTCCTCCAGGTAAGCACACCACAGATGATGGTCCCACCCCCCTCAGCTCAGGGAAGAAGTGACCCATACATGTCTGCTGAGCCCAGGGCAGGGCAAGGAGGCACTGACCACTCCAGTTCAAATCAGGAACCTGCCATGCCTCTCACAGCTTTCTCTGCCTGTCTCCTTTGGCTATAAAAGCCAAGCCTTCTCCCCTCCTTATCCAAGAACAGACTAAGGACATATAGGTGACTTGTTTTTTTCTTCCCCTCCTTAAAATGCTGAAAGCATTAAACAAGTAATGCAAACTACTTACAGTTTTCTGGGAGTAAGGAAATAATTTCTTCTCCCAAACAATATAAGAATTAGAGATGACTCCAGACTCCACCTTACAGAAACACAGAAAATGAGTGCCTACTTTACAAACAGGAACACCCCCAGACACAACCCTGTTACCTGACTACTTGCCTAAAAGGTGACAGGAGAAACACAGCATGAGAAATCAGGCCAACAACTACCCAGTGTATTTTCCTTTACTGCAGATCTGCCTTCATATCTGGCAAAAACTACTTCAGACAATGGATACTGCAGGGGAATCCTTACAGCAGCAAAACAGATACTGCAAGGGGATCCTCAAGGAAGTGAACATCATTGCTGCTGGGCACTTAGTGCCATACAAGTATCAGAACCAGTTCTCCCCAGTTAGAGTGAGGTCTTTCCACACAAGGATTGTATCTGTATTTTCTTTATATACACAATTCCAGCTACTTGAAATCCTCATCACAACCAAGACCTGAGTATCAAATCAGGACAAATACTTTCTTGTGAGGTTGTGACATTTTCCACTAGCACTTACAAGCAGAAAGGCACTATCTCCATGTTGATCATAAAATTTCAGCTGTACTTTGTAACAGGTTTTTGTTCTGCTCTAATATGACACCATATGCAGACTGTACAGCTCGCAGGGATAGGAGTGCTTCATAAAATAGCCAAAAAACTTACCATTTTTAGCTTGATCTTCTGGACTCAAACTCTGAGAAGAATTTCCAATTAGAATGCATCTGCAATAAAGTAAAATTTAATATTAAAACTCCCCTTACCAACAGTGTGTCTTAATTCTCATCTTATTCTCAATTCTCATCCTTTTCAGCAACCTGTCCTTAGTTTAAAAAAGGCTTATTTATGTATCTGTACAGAGGGCCAAAACAAACTATTTTCTCCCTTTGCCCAAAAAGCAGCCCCAAAACACTTCACTAGTCAAATGTTTAGTTCAAACCAACATATGAAACACAGCTATGCCTAAGAATCTTTTCTAGAGTCCATTAACCCTGCTCTTACAAGCCTGTACATACCAAAAATGGATGTCTGGTTTACCACACACAAAATATTCCTGAGAGGTAACTCAAAAGCAAAAAATAGCAGCAGGAATAAAATTTAAATTACACAGTGAGTGTTTACATTCACCTAGTTCTCTGCAAGCTAAATCTGACCTTTTATGATATTTTTTAATGGTTTAAATATGGAAGACTATTTCTAAACAATTTGCCAGGTCATATTAGACCTATGTATTGTATGGCAAATAAAACCAATACGCAGTAATAGGAGCCGCAGCCCATGCACAAAATTTATTGTGTGCTACTGTTTATAAAATACTTGAATAGTTCAAAACATGCATAAAATTTCCAACTTAGGGGTATGTACAGATTGTAGTTTATGGCAAAGGAAAAAAAAAAAAAATAGATGAACTCTAGTGACATAAGTTTCAAGTTGTGTTCCAGGGGATGAGAAGGACATGTAGCAAATGTCAAAATATATAACAAAGTACACTGGCAATCAGTACAGTCCATTATTTTTGAACAAATTAGCACAGGGCTTCAATTTTTATTTTAACCAAGCAGTCCCGTAGATACCAAAATACATGCAGTCTCAAGTTTACACTTTCACTAATGCCTTAGCAGTTGAACATAGCAATTGCTCACGCGCTGCTTTGCCTAAACAAAAAGTATGTCCAATACAGGTTCAGTTTCCTTTACAGATTTAAAAATAATAAAAAAGCTTGCAGCTATTCAGCCCAGTGATTGTTAGCTATTTATGCAACCTTAATACTCACAATGAACTAAAAGTACCTATAACATCTAGGTAACCTATAGATGTACATCATAGGTCTATATATTAAATATTTGCAAAATGAAAACATGCATACACAAAATACAATGCCAAGTTTTACAGACTTGATATGAATCAAAATTTACTTAAACAATGTACAAAGTTCAATTAAAAGTACCTTAAAATTGACACTTATATTTTTCATACTTTTAAAATTAGTATATATATATTTTAAATTCAAGGTGGGGAAAAGTCTTGAAAAAGCTGAGCAGAAAAGCTTCTAAATTAAATATTTTTTTTTAAATCTGTGTTCAAGTAATAAACATTCCTACATAGAAATCTTCTGATAAGCTGTAACTAAAAAATACAGTGAATACAATATAGAATTAGCAACACCTAAAGGAGTAAACCTGAGGTCAGCATTTTACACAATGGCCAACTGAAATGTTTTGGCATTTTTTCTGTTATTTAAAATACAGTTTTTGCAGCCTCAGATATTTTAAGACCATTCTAATCTATAATTTTAAAGACATATCATGAAACCAATGTCCATTAATAAATAGTTAGCTCTTAGGGTTGTATTTGAAAGTCTGATTTAAACAAACAAATGAACAAACAAACAAACAAACTACCTCTACTGAAAGAAAAATTCCATTTGTAAACTTAAAAGTGTTGACAACATAAGCGTAAGATGCTAGTCTAGGTGTGCTTTAGTGAGAACAGTCCGATCCTTTCCCCTGATCTCTTCCGAAGCTGCAGCAGCCAGTGATGGATGTTTGTGTGAAAGGGTGAGGCACAGGCTCCCAGGAGGTCACCGTGTAAGAGAGGGGCTGTTGTCTCAAAAGCATGATGGTCTCTCTTCAGTGGGATCAAGTGAGATGGTTTTCTACCTTGTGTTAAGTA